GCAGCCTTATGCTCCTCAGTCTCCTCCTACAAAATCTAATTTTGCAAATAATAACAATAATATAGTAGACGTAGACTACATGATAAACAATAGTGAGAGATAATTAAAGACCTTATAATACATTCGCGTATTTTCCATCAACAGCTCGACATCTCTGCAAAATTCCTCAAACGTGAGATACTCCTCAGTCTTCAATTTTTGCTGGATTCTTGTAAGATCAATAGGAGATTTCACTTGCTTGTAGTAGTCAGGTTCTGTCCTATAATCGAGAGAATACTGTGACTATGAATCTCTCTTATGGATGCAAAGCAGAAATTATACTGCAAATTTAGCCTCTGTTTTCACACTACTTGTAAATTCATTAAGAAATTACCTTCTAGACGGCGTTCGTATGAATTTCTCAGACGGTTGACGATTCTCACTATCAGTGTGTTGCCTAAGCACATCAAAAACTCCCTGAGCTTTGCGATTCTGAAATTTATGGGTTTAATAAATAAAAAAAAAAGAAATCTGTCGACAAATTAAGATGATGAGGGTACAAAGCAAAGATGAAACTTTAAAGAAGAACCACATACTTCTTGGGCTATTCGCTCACGTTCTTTGGCTGAAATTCTTCCTTTTCTTCTTTTTGGGGTGGGTGTGCCTTCGGGAGGAGAGTTCTCCGCGGTGTCTTCTAAGCGCTTCCGTTTGGCGCTCATGGTGGAGAACGTCCTGTTTTCAGTCAACATTAGTTAACTAAACAAGCTGCTGGATGATTACTATAAGTTTGCGATAGGGCAAATAAAGAAAAGATAACTATGGCGTTTTTAAAGAATATGATGTTGCAGTGGTGATAAAAAGGTTTTAATATGCCTTTTTTCAAACCATAAAAGGGAAGCGTTTGCACAAATCTCAACGTAGGCTTACCATTTAATTCATCCACAAAATACGACAATTTTAAACCCGAAGAGTGAAAAAAACTGTGAGTTCTAAACGGTGCGATTACGAATTAGAAATAAACTAAACAAGATGAAAGACAGTGCCGGTAAATATCATGCTCA